CTAGTTCCACGTGCCATGTTTAATGGATGTCAGTTATCAATTACTCCTGTTAATTCCCCCTCTCCAAGTTCTCTACTGCCTTAACTGTGTATTGAACTCACACTCTTTGGGTCCTGTCACTAGCTCTAACCAACGCCTTTATCTTCAAGGTCACATGGCACAGTGGATAAAGGCATTGGTTAGATCTAGTGACATGACCCAAATAGTGTGAGTTCAATACACGGTTAAGGCAGTGGAAAACTTGGAGAGGGGAATTAATAGGAGATAACTGATAACTGACATCTATTAAACATGGAAAGTGGAACTAGAACAGTCTACCCCAGTGAGCGAAATAAAAAGTTCAGTTCGACATTGCAACCACCTGAAGAAGGCCGGAGCGTACAACGGCCGAAACGTTGTAATAAATATGGCGACAACGATGAGGACAATAGTCCGAATAATGTAAATAGTAAACAGGTATTGTTGGTAATTTTTTTTTATATAAAACTCAATTGCTAGCAACTTTACTATAATAAAGTATTTTTATACTTTTATAGTTTTTTGTGTTTATTGGTGGCTTCGCTATTTGCACATAACTAGGAGCCTAACAGGTGCTACCACAGGTGGACTTGGGCACAATGGCAATTCAGTGGCGATTCCGTGCTCCACAAAAGCTCCAATCTCCCAATCAGAAGCCTTGCTGCTCGATGTAGTTTATCGTCATGTTTTCCCGTAGATTACTACAGCCACCATAATACCTCAAAGTCTATAAAATTCTAACTCGTTCCCATATGAAAAAGGAGGAAATCTCAACAGAAGAATTTGCCATAGAAATATTTGCAGAAAAGACAGAGGGAAGCCACGTCACCGCGGTGAGAAAATGAGTGAATTCGAGATGCCAGGTTAGGATTATTAAAGGGCCCTTTTTTATATTCTGGTTTTGTCAAGCATCATGAGATCACCAAACCATACATAGCAACAGTATTTAATGAACGGACGAATGGTAGCTTTATTGAACCACAATGGAGTCGTGTATAACGATCCTTTAAAGAATAGATGATTATTCCGAATTAGATGGAAACCATGGAAACTTCGAGAGTAGCGCCTTGTGTCCCCTAATATATGCACAACCGAAGGCACCATAAAATGGAAAGACTACATTGAATCCATTGCTAGGTCAGCTGCTAAGAAAATTCATTCACTATGTCATGCGAGACAATTTTTCTCTCCGGAATCTATCTTACATATCTATAATTCTACCTTTCGTCCACGCTTAGAATATTTCTAGCATATATGGTCTGATGCCTCTGCTAATTACATGGAGCTCCTTGATAAGGTCCAAAGAAGAATCAGCAATATTATATGTCCTGATCTAGCTGCTTGGTTTCAGCCCACCGCCGTAATTTCAATTCTCTGTGCCTTTTTTTTTTTTTTTTTTTTTTATAAATACTTCCATGGAAATTATTCGGATGTGCTCTTCGCTCTTCATATTGTAAATACTAATTGGGGCTAGTTTTTTTTTTAGTTTTTTATTCCCCTCCCCCACAGACAATGAATTGTACATATGGGGAATAGTTAGGATTTTCATAGAGACAATGTGGTATTATAGTGAATGTAGTAAGAAAGGTAAGTAAGAATGCGTTGTTTTGGTGTTAGGAATATTGTGGTATGTTTGGGTCAGTGTTTGTGGCTAGCTAAGTTTAAGGTTAAAGCAGAAGAAAAAACGTCCCTTTCGCTATTCCCCATTTTTGGCCTTGTGCCACACTTTCTGCATTTGAAGCGGAAATAGATATCGCTCTTCGCTGTATGATTTTTAATTTGTTGTTTTATCCCCCCACCCCGAGACAATGAATTGTACATATGGAGACTAGTTAAGATTTTCATAGAGACAATGTGGCATTATGGTGGGTGTAGTAAGAAAGGTAAGTAAGAATGCGTTGTTGTGGTGTAAAGAATATTGTTGTATGTTTGGGTTAGTGTTTGTGGCTAGCTAAGTTTAAGGTTAAGGCAGAAAAAAAAAACTGCCCTTTTTCCCCATTCCCCATTTTGGCCCTATGCTTAGCAGAATAAATATCGCTCTTCGCTGTGGCACCGAGACTGTATGAATTTCAGCGCAGTGCCAGACTGGCGGCGAGATGTCATCAATTTACAGTTGAGCTTGCTAGATATGGTCGTAGGTTCTATGCAAACGGTTTCTTTTCTCGTACTTCTCGCTTGTGGGACTCCCTTTCAGCTCCATGTTTTCCAGCCAATTTTAATCTGCAAAAATTTAAATTATCTACTGTCCTCCCGATTACTCCTTTATCTTTCTTCTCATTATCCATGTTTCTGTTCCTAATTGCTCTACATTCTGTAACCGCTAGCGTTTTAGTGGGTGTACTAGCTGAGACGGTACAGATAAAAAATGGCGGCGTCTCGACGAATAACCTGGTTAGTTATATTATTTCAAAGAATTCGTTCATTTGCATCTTTCAGAGATCTTTCCATCTTACTTTATAATCTTTTCTTTGATTTAAGATTTTTCATAGATCGTTCGCTTGAAGACATGGAAATTTTTGCTTCATCGGATAATATTCTGAGACAATAATTACGAAGTTGTGCCAATGTTTAACGTTCGTGCTCGAAAAAAACAAAAAAACAAAACAAAATATACGGTATGTCAAAAGGACGGTTATTCCACCGATATTACTGTATACACTTTTGACTCCCTCAGCAATGTTTACTTATAAGATTATAAAAATATGTGAACCAAGTACAATGCGATAGTTATCATTTACTTTTTATAAAGATTTATTAGTCAACATTTTATAAAGAAATACATTTAAAAAGAAATCTTTTCCTTCAAAAGTTTAAATTACCGCCTGTCCTTGGTATAACGACAAACTACATCCGCGTTCTAGGTAAGACGATAAACTACGTCCAGCAGCAAGGCCTCTGATCAGGAGGTTTTGAGGAGGATGGAACCACCTCTTAATTGCTGGTGTTCCTTTTTCTTTTATTACTTGATATCAGTCCGATTCCGAATATTATTTTACTGAACCCGATTTTAATTTTGCCGATGTCGCTCGTGATACATAACACACTTCCAATTTCATCAGATACACTGCGTTTCCATCATTGGTATGACGATAAACTACATCCGCGTCCTGGGTCTGACGATAAACTACGTCCAACAGCAAGGCCTCTGATCAGGAGGTTTTCAGGAGCGTGGAACCACCTCTTAATTGCTGGTGTTCCCAGGTCTACTCTGACCCGGGTTGGTAGCACCTATCAGGGTACCAGCTATAGGCAAATAGTTAACACCCAAACTTGTGTAAAAATAGGTTTTAATACCAGAAATACTTTCTAATAAAATATGTTATCAGCAATAATTTTTGAAGGAAAAATTATTATCAGCAATACTTTAAAAAAAAATACCAGCAATGCAAACAGCTATACATTCTTTGAAAAAAATAAGGCCAGCCCCTTCTTCAAGGAAAAATATTCCAAGAAATAGATTTTTGAAGAAAAGCATACTACCAGCAATAAAAATTTTGTCGGCATTAAATAACCCATTGAGACTGATATGCCGAAAAACAAAACAGACCAAACGAAAGCAAATTACTGCTTATAAAGTCAAGCAAAATTTGAATTACTGTTTATAAAAACACATCGTCTATACGAAACGTAACTTAACGTGAACAATGACAACATATTAGATGAAATGGATTAAATCCGCCAAATATTTTAATATATTTTCTGTTTATACGTTATTTTTATGGATACAACTTATTTGAGTAAATGTATTGTTTTTAATTAAACAGTATTAATTATATTTACCGACCTGAATGTTCGAGAAATTTAGTAGAAAATATGCGTTCTCTGACAGAAATCGAATCTGTATTCCATGCTGAAACCGTTGTTTAGCCATACGTGCTGTTAATCATTAAGTCACAAAGAACTTTCTGGTTCAGCAAAGTTCAAATTACTGCTTAAAAACACACATACTCGACGATTTTTCTCGATATACGATTTCTGTCCGAAATGCAACCTAACGTAAACAATGACAACATATTTGATGAAATGGCTTAAATCTGCCAAATATTTTAATATATTTTCTGTTTATACGTTATTTTTATGGATACAAGTTATTTGAGTAAATGTTCGGTTTTTATTAAATAGTATTACAGTGTAACCCGGATATAAGAGACCCTGATATATGAGAAACCCGGATATAAGAGAGATTTTCTCTGGTTCCAAATTAGAGCCTGTGTTAATGTATACAAATTAGACCAAACCCGGATATAAGAGAAACCCGGATATAAGAGACTTCTTCTCCGGTCCCGACAATTCTCTTATATCCGGGTTACACTGTAATTACATTTACAGGCCAGAATGTTCGATAAATTTATCTACCAAATTTAAATGTAATTAATACTGTTTAACCTTTACTTAAATAAGTTGTATCCATAAAAACAACGTATAAACAGAATATATATATATATATATATATATATATATATATATATATATATATATATATGTGTGTGTGTGTGTGTGTGTGTGTGTGTGTGTGTGTGTGTGTGTGTGTGTGTGTGTGTAAGAAACCTTTTTTTCACACTGAGAGCTTAAAAAGAATATAAATTTAAATTTCTTTTGGAAATACTGTAAAAGGAAAATTGCTAACGTTGGAGATTGAAATAAAATGTCTTTGTTCATTTTTTATTGTGTCGCTTGATCCATTATATTAAGATTATTTTTCCTTGAATTTACTCACATGTTTTACGAGCGCGCAGACGTTATGGACAAGAAAAAAGGTCGCTGATAAATATTGTATTTGGTGATCCACAAATGAAGAACAGGTTGCGTTCACACACACACACACACACACACACACACACACACACACACACACACACACACACACACAAACACAGATACACGTACATACACACAGGCAGACACACACGTACACACACACACGTATAAACATATGTACACTCAGAGTTTCATTTAATTTGATAAAAATCTCTATTGTTTAGCTTACATATTTCCTCTCCTAATAATATTGCTTTCCTTCTTTCTATCTATCTATCTATCTTTCTTTCTTTCTTTCTTTCTTTCTTTCTTTCTTTCTTTCTTTCTTCATTCATTCATTCTTTGTTTCATTTGGCTTTTGAAACTTACTCCCTTTCTCTTTCACTTATTCCCTTTTCTTTCTTTTTTCTTTCTTTCTCTTGTCCATCTATCATTATTCCTTCTATTCTCTTTCAATCTTCCCTTTTCTTTCTTTCTTTCTTTCTTTCCTTCTTTCTTTTGTCCATCTATTATTATTTATTCTATTCTCTTTCAATCTTCCCCTTTCTTTCTTTCTTTCTTTCTTTCTTTCTTTCTTTCTTTCTTTCTTTCTTTTTTGTGTCCATCTATTCTTGTTCCTTCTCTTCTCTTTCAATCTTCCCCTTTCTTTCTTTCTTTCTTTCTTTCTTTCTTTCTTTCTTTCTTTCTTTCTTTCTTCCATCTATTCTTATTCCTTCTCTTTCTTTCTTTCTTTCTTTCTTTCTTTCTTTCTTTCTTTCTTTCTTTCTTTTGTCCATCTATTCTTGTTCCTTCTCTTCTCTTTCAATCTTCCCGCTTCTTTCTTTCTTTCTTTCTTTCTTTCTTTCTTTCTTTCTTTCTTTCTTTCTAATATATGCATATATACCACTAGGCTATGATGTATTCTTCATCTGACCTATTTGGGTATGTTAGCGGAGATTTTTTCGACACACTTTTGTATACCAGGATGTATAAGTAAGTTAGTAGCCAAACACTCATATGGGCTTGAATTTCGATCTGAAAATTGTACTGTATAATGCTTGATATTTGTGATTTCTCATGAAGCGTTAAATTTCGCCATTGGCTTTTAAGCTCGGCTGAATATACAAATGGCGCGGAAGGCAACTGGTGGTGATGACGTCGCATACAGCCTACCAAACTTTTTATTTTTATTCATTTCTTTTTCAAGGGGTAATCATTGACATAAATAGGGAATCCTAAAAGAATTTACAGGAAAATCACCCGAAAAAAACTTTGCCTATCAGGGTATCAACCATTTTCAAATCTAGATAAAATAAGAAAGGCATTGAAGTATTGTTAAAAGGACGATTTTTTCTTATGACAACAGTAAAAAAAACAAAAAAAAGAACAAAAAAAAAAGAACAAAAAACAACAAAAAAACGAAGACAAAAACAAAACATTTCAACTACTTTCACTTTTCGGCAATGTTCATTGTTTTAAAAAGCCCTGATTAGAATTGTAATAAAGCCTAAACATTTGAAAGTGAATTTCTACATTTTCTTTATTCTTAAGAATTGACAACAAAAATAATAAACACTATTTATTATATAATTTATTGGAATGGTTGGCAAAACATCGGCTAATTGCAAATTGATTCGAACTTTATAAAATGGTAAATAATGATTTCCTTATAGTTGATTCGCATATTTTCATAATTTAATAAATGTTTATAAATTTATGAATAAACAAATTGTTTTCATATTTATTTCTTTATAAATTGGTAAAAGATAAATATTGCTTTGTATTAGTTCTAATTTTATTATATTTTTGAATATTCTGAATATAAAATTATTCTTGTAAGGTACCTCAACTAAAATCACAATGCCTAAGGTTTAAATTCATTTTTCAAAATGAAAAAGCTTTCTTTGTGCCTGTGAATTGACGAGAAATATAAACACTATTTATTAAATTGTTTATTTAAACCATTTATTTATTATATTATTAATTGGAATGGTTGGTAAAACGTCGGCTAATTGCAAATTGATTCAGACTTTATAAAAAGGTAAATAATGATTTGCTTACTATTGGTTCACATATTTTAATAATTTAGTAAATATTTATAAATTTATGAATATTTTTTCATATTTGAAAAAAAATATTTCTGGTTTCACTGGGGAGTTATGGCAAGTTTATTTTGAATAAAGTCTCTAAAAATAAAAAAAATATTAAAAAGAAAAAAAGAAATTGGCAAATTTGGACATTTGTGTTCCTTCAAAGAACAGTGTTAAAAGTAAGGGTTTTCCAGTGATACTGTTATTAATTTAAATGTCTTCACTCCTCGGCAATGTTTAATCTTTTTAAAAGTGATGATTAGAATTGTAATAAAATATGTGAAAGTGAATTTATACATTTTCTTTGTTCGGGAGAATTGGCAACAAAAATAATAAACACTATCCGGAAATAAAAATAGAATTTAGAGAAAGTGTAAGTATGAGAGTGTCAGACGAATGTTAGAGCTAAAGAGAGGGGTAACAGACGAGAGACGGTGGGAGATTAAAACTTAACAGAGAGGGTTTTTTTTAAAGAGGTGAGGGGAAGGGAGAAATATGAATGTTGTCGGATGTCTAATACATTAAAGATACATTTCGTGGTGACATACACACACCATAGACGATCTAATGTTAATATAATTTATTGGAATGTTTGGCAAAACATCGGCTAATTGCAAATTGATTCAGACTTTATAAAATGGTAAATAATTAATAATTTAGTAAATATTTCTAAATTTATGTATAAAAATTTATTTTCATATTTATTTCCTTATAAATTTTATATTCGATTGCATAATTTTAATTATATTAGTTTTTAGAATGTTGTAAATATAAAATTATTATTGTAAATAAACAATCTAATAAATAGTCTTTAATATTTTTGTTATAAATTTTTGTTCTTGAAAATTGACAACAAGTAATAATAAACACTATTTATTTATTAGATTGTTTATTTATACTATTTATTCTATAGTTTATTGGAATGGTTGGCAAAACAATTGACTAATTGCCAATTGATTTGAACTTTATAAAATTGTAAATAATAAGGATTTTCCCATAATTCGTTGACATATGTTAATAATTTAGTAAATGTTTATAAATTTATGAATAAAAAATTGTTTTCATATTTATTTCTTTATAGATTGGTAAATGATAAATATTGATTTGCATTCGTTTTAATTGTATTAGTTTTTAGAATATTGTGAATATAATGTTATTCTTGTAAATCTTATAAATAAATAAGGTTTAATATTTTTGTGGTAAATTGTCAATTACAAAAGAATGTATAAATACATTTTCATCATTATTTTAAAGTTTTATTCAAGTTCTGATAGTCACTTTAAAAAAAAAAAATGTCATTGCCGAAAGTGAAGGTACTTAAAATAGAAGCGGTGTGATTGGCTTTTTGCGGGTCCATGTCTGAAGGTCCATGTTTTTTTTCCTTCAGTTCTTATTCTTCACAGTAAAATTGTCTTTCTTTGACTTTTAGCGACACTGGATCCATTACAGCAACATTGCGGCTAAAGCTTTATATTTTTTTTTTTAGTTTCTTTACATTGGGAGTGAATGGCCAAAAAAAAACATCGCTGAGAAATATTTGTTAACCACAAATGTAGAATCGCTTGAGTTCACACACACAGACACACACACGTACACATAATTGTCGAGCTAATTTTACGAGCTGCCATTGTTTATAATTATACTGATGACAATGTGATGATAATAATAATCAACATTCCAAGAGGAAGCTAATATTTCATAAAGAACAACAAAACAAGCACAATATCCTTTCAGTCTTGAATGAAAAGAGTCGGAAATTGCCGATCAGATGCGACGAATTCAAATAGGCAGAAAGGAATTCAGCCAATCAGGTCACAGAGGAGAAGGGTATTGTTTGAAAGCGAGGTTGCAATATATAATATTATAGAAAATGATAATCACCTGAGGAAGTTCTGGTTGACGTCGATTCATTTCTTTCCGGGCGAAATTATTTTTATTTATCTATTTGTTTCTTTATTTTTATTTAATTGCTTACTTTTTCTTTCTTTTCTTTCTTTCTTTCTTTCTTTCTTTCTTTCTTTTCTTTCTTTCTTTTGCGTGTGCTAATTTATATTCATTAATTTTTCTTTCTTTCTTTCTTTCTTTCTTTTGTTTCAGTTACATTATATTAATCTTTCTTTCTTTTTTTCTGTCCTTTTTGTTCTACTTTATATTCATCAATTTTTCTCTTTCTTTCTTTCTTTCTTTCTTTCTTTCTTTCTTTCTTTCTTTTGTTTCAGCTACATTATATTCATCTTTCTTTCTGTCTTTCTTTCTTTTTTCTGTCCATTGTTCTAAGTTATATTCCTCAATTTTTCTTTCTTTTTTCTTTTTTCTTTCTTTCTTTTGTTTCAGCTACATTATATTCATCGCACTTTCTTTCATGTGTGTGTGTATGTGTGTGTGTGTATGATGAATATATAGTTTTAAGGCATGCTATATATACTGGGTAAAAGTGCTCAATATCGGAGATAGAGCTTATGTAAATATAAAAGTGGACACTGAGGACAATACCAGGCGGGGACATTCTATTTCATGCCTGAACGCAATATTCAGGCCATGAGTGTTGTGTTTTAGCTCGACTATTTATATATGCTAGTGAATTCTGTTTTATGGGTAGCGATATCTATTGTATTATCCTAACGGATATTTTTCAAATTATTCCGGAGTCTATTGAGTAGAAACAATTGTGGATTTGTTGTTGTTGTTGATTATTATTATTATTATAATTATTACATTTGCTTGTTTGGTTTGGTTTGTTTTGTTTTACGGCGTATCAACCTAAATGGGTTATTTAATGCCGACAAGAAATTTACTGCTGGCAATAATTTTTTCTTTAAAAATTCATTGCTGGTAACAATTTTTCACAAAAATGTATTGCTGGTACTAAAACCTATTTTTACACTTCCATAGTGTTTTGACCCCAGTTTGGGGGTTAACTAGTTTCTCATAGCTGGGACCCTAGCAGATGCTACCAACACAGGTCAGGGTGGATCTGGGAACACCAGCAATTAAGAGGTGGATCCACGCTCTTCAAAACCTCCTAATCAGAGACCTTGCTGTTAGACGTAGTTTATCGTCTTACCCAGGACGCGGATGTAGTTAATCGTCTTACTCAGGACGCGGATGTAGTTCATCGTCTTACCAAGGACGCCTCATTTGTGGGAGGGGTGTCTTACTTCTCTGCAGAAGTGCAGTCAGCGTATTCTGAAGCCCCAGCCAACAGGGCGTACATTTCTATTTTTTTAATCATCTGAGACAACCTCTTTTTACCTTCCTTCAGTATGGCTGATGCTAACCAACAGAAGAGTTAATAATGCTTTAACATTTCTAGCTCAAATGAAGTGGAAAGACTACATTGAATGAAGTCAGTAGTTAAGAAAGTTGGTTAACTAGACAATTTTTTCGACAGAATTTATCAGTCAACCATTCATCCTTGCTTTGAATATTGCTGCCACATCTGGTCTGGTGCTTCTGCTATGTATGTAGAGATTCTTGATAAAATCTAAAGAAGAATCTATCTTACATAATTATAAGTCTACCATTCATCCTTGCTTTGAATATTGCTGCCACATCTGGTCTGGTGCTTCTGCTATATATTTAGAGATTCTTGATAAAATACAAAGAAGAATCTATCTTACATATTCATAAGCCTACCATTCATCATTGCTTTGAATATTGCTGCCACATCTGGTCTGGTGCTTCTGCTATATATTTAGAGATTCTTGATAAAATACAAAGAAGAATCTATCTTATATATTTATAAGTCTACCATTCATCCTTTCTTTGAATATTGCTGTCACATCTGGTCTGGTGCTTC